CCACTATGCTCTCTTGTCTCTTAAGGTTACACCTACCATTTTCTTTCCATTGCTCGCTGCGTCGTCCTCAATTTAAGCTGAACCCTCTTTGTAAGTCTCCAGGTTTCTGCTCCGTAGCTAAGTACCGGCAAGATACAGCTGTTATATACCTTCCTCTTGAGGGATAGTGGCAATCTACCTGTCATAATTTGAGAGTGCTTGCCGAATGTACTCCACCCCATTCTTATTCTTCTAGTTACTTCAATCTCGTGGTTAGGCTCTGCGGTTATTACCTGCCCTAAGTAGACATAGTCTTTTACAACTTCAAGTGCACTATTGCCTATCTCAAAGCGCTGCTCCTTTCCGAGGTTGTTGTACATTACTTTCGTTTTCTGCAGATTAATTTTAAGAACCACCTTTCTGCTCTCCTTGTCTAACTCCGCAATCATGAGTTGCAATTCGTCCCCTGAGTTACTCAGCAATGCAATGTCATCGGCGAAGCGCAGGTTACTAAGGTATTCTCTATTGACTCTTATTCCTAACTGTTCCCAATCTAGGTTTCTGAAAACCTCCTGTAAGCACGCGGTAAATAGCATTGGGGAGATTGTGTCCTCCTGCCTTACACCCTTCTTGATTGGTATTCTGTTGCTTTCTTTATGAAGCACTATGGTAGCAGTTGATCCCCTGTAGATTTCTTCCAGAATGCTTATATATACTTCATCTACGCCCTGATTCCGCAGTGTCTGCATGACGGCTGATATTTCTACTGAATCAAACGCCTTCTCGTAATCTATGAAGGCTATGTATAGTGGTTGGTTATACTCTGAGCATTTCTCTATTACCTGATTGATAGTTTGAATGTGGTCAATTGTTGAGTAGCCTGTTCGAAATCTTGCTTGTTCCATTGGTTCATTGAATTCTAATGTTTTCTAAACTCTGTCAGCAATTACCTTTGTAAATAGCTTGTATACTACGTAGAGCAAGCTGATCAGCCTGTATTTCTTCAAGTCCTTGTCATCTCCTTTTTTATGTATTAAGATGATGTTAGCATTCTTCCAAGACTCTGGTACTCTTCCCGTTAGGAGACACCTCGTAAACAGGGTGGCTAGTTTTTCTAACACAATCTGTCCTCCATCTTTCAGCAGATCTGATGTTACCTGATCCTCACCAGCAGCTTTGCCTCTTTGCATGCTCTCCAAAGCTTTTCTGACTTCTTCTATTATTACTGGTGGGGTGTCATCTGGGTTACTGCTAGTTCTTATGGTATTAGGGTCGTGGTTGTCTCGGCTACTGTACAGATCTCTGTAAAACTCCTCCGCTATTTTAACTATCCTATCCATATTGGTAGTTACTTTGTCTTCTTTGTCCCTTAATGCATACATCCGACTTTTGCCTATCCCAAGTTTCCTCTTCACTGTTTTGACGCTTCCTCCGTTTTTCAGAGCATGTTCAATTCTCTCCATGTTATACCTTCTTACATAGCATACTTTACGCCTATTATTCAACTTCGAAAGCTCTGCCAGTTCTATTTTGTCTGTTGTACTTGACACTTTCATGCTTTGACGCTTCCTAATTAGGTTCTTCGTTTCCTGGGAAAGCTTGCCAGTGTCCTATCTAACTACCCTGCCTCCAACTTCCACTGCACACTCCGTAATGATACTCGTTAGATTATCATTCATTGTATCTACGCTAAGGTTGGTTTCCTCACTAAGAGCCGAGTACCTGTTCTGCAGCGACACTCTGAATTCCTGTACGTTCCCTCTCAGTGATAGCTCATTGATTGGCTTCTTTCGTATCAGTTGCTGTCGTTCCTTCTTCAAGTCCAGGCGAATTCGAGACCGTACCATTCTATGGTCACTGCATCGTACCTTACTTCCACATCCTGTACAATTCCTGGGTGTGCAGTCATTATAAAGTCTATTTCGTTCTTATTTTCGCCCTTAGGACTCCTCCATGTCCACTTGCGGTTTTCTCGTTTTCGGTAGAAGGTATTCAAAATCCGTAAATTATTGCGTTCTACGAATTCTATTAGTAGCTCTCCTCTGGCGTTTCTAGTACCGATGCCATAATCTCCTACTGACTGGTCTCCGGCCTGCTTCTTCCCTACCTTTGCACTAAAGTCGCCCATCACTATAGTATACTGTGTTTTTACCTTACTCAATGCCGATTCCACGTCTTCATAGAAGCTTTCAACTGAGGCGTCATCATGGCTGGATGTAGGCGCGTAAGCCTGTACTACCTTCATCTTGTATCTTTTATTCAGTTTAGTTACAATGCCTACCACCCTTTCATTAATGCTATAGTATTCCTCTATGTTGCCAGCTATGTTTCTGTGAATTAGGAACCCCACTCCCAGTTCTCTTTTGTCTTCCAAGCCCCGATAGCAAAGGACGTGCCCATTCTGTAGCACAGTATAGGCCTCATCTGTCCTCCTAACCTCACTGAGCCCTATTATATCCCATTTAACACCCTCTAGCTCCTCAAATAGTACAGCTACACTTCCCTCACTAGATAAGGTTCTAGCGTTAAACGTTGCCAAGTTCAGGTTCCAAAGGCGGCCTGTAGTCCAGAGATTCTTAGCACCCTCTGCTGCGTTGCAGATCTGACCGCCGACATGGTCAGTTGCTTCGCAGCTGCTGGGGACTGAGGGCCGTGAGTTATTTGACGTATGCATGTGGGAGGTAGTGGCCAGATACTGCACCAGGGTGGCCAATCCTTCTCTGGTGAGGGAGTGCGTTCCCGGCGGTGGTTACCGGTGAGGCCGCACCCCAGGCCTCTTAATGCAGTTCGATCAACACGCGGATTTTTTTTTTTCTGTTGGGAACTGCGCGGCACCGGGATTTGAGCCACGGACCTCTTGCATGCGAGGCGGATGCTCTAACCACTACGCCATCGCCGCACCCTTGCTGCAGTATACCTGCTCGTTTATTAACACACCCCCAGTGTAAGCACGTCAGGCTGCAAGACGCGTAAGTAGAGGAAACTGAGTAATCGTAGACCAGAATAAGCGGAGATAACTGAATCATACTTAGTGATGTAATGTCGGTAAAGTTGCGGCAAACCGAACCTCTCAGCAACTGCTAAGGAACGCACTCGCTACCCTGATGACGATATAGATCCCGAAGTAAACGTTGGCCCAAGCAGTGCTGCTTAATCAACGGCTTTTCATAACTTGAAGCCCAGAACTTACAGCTAACTTCTTTCTTTCCTCGCGCGATCGGCTTCGTGCAGCGCTTTTTACCGTTCTTATGAAGGAGTAGGCAGCTACGAAGCGTGACCTCTACGTCAACAACAGCCGCCTCAGCAGGAGCACCGCCGAGCAAAGCTCGCTCCCACGACGGTGGTGAAGGCCAACACATTCAAATGCGCTGCTCATGCTAGTAGCTACAGAACGCGATAGCGCGCTTTCTCGAGAACCAAACATCATCGTCAGGGAACGAAAAAAAAAAAGAAAGACCTACATCTAAGCCTGTTCTACGCCGTGAAAACCTTCAAACAGCGTATCTGTAACCACGCCAGCGATATAGGCTAGCGATGCCGTGCGCGTCGTCATCCCCACCGTCGTAATTGTAATCTTATAGATCGTTATCAGTATCCCTATTGGCATCATCATAATCATAATGACTTCGAGCATCGATCATCATCGCTTAGCATCAGCGTCATTTAATTTTATTCATTTCTTTACTCCCTTTCTGCTCAGGTGTCCTCGTGGCTCCTCCTCTTAGTACTACCACCACCCCCTACTATTAATATTGCTACTACTGTTACTACTACTGATACTACTAGTGTACTTCTGCTACAACATATACTGTTACTATTACTGCTAAAACTACTACTACCATTACTGCCACCACGACCACCACCATCACTACTACTACTACTTCTGCTACTATTACTACTATTACTAGTAGTAGTATAAAACTACTACTACTACTGCAACTACAACGACGACGACATAAGGTAGGCTACGACAGCTCCTCTGCAAAAGTTCATCTCCCAGGAGAGTGCACTAGAGAAGGGAAATGCAAGAGGCGAAAAGTAGAAGAACAAATGACGTCGATGTAGTGAAAATAGTGCAACGGCACAATGCCCTCCCTCCCCCTCCGCATTGCCTTTCTTGTATCAAGCGGAGAAAGACAAGTGGCCTGGGGAGGTGGAAAGAGATGCGAGAGCGGGGCAACAGCTGCCAAGGCGAGAGCGATTCGCGTGCCTCGAAGGGCACGTCTGCTATCAAGGCCGAGCGTTTGGCCTTATAAATGCTCGCCGGGTCAGTCAGTCGGTCAAGCGGAGACGACAGGTGGCTCCAACGCTGTTACAGAGCGGAGAGCGTACGCCTTTTGCATGGCCAGATTAAGAGAACGCTCGACGGAAGCTTTGAGCTGCATTCGTAAGCCGTGCTTCGGCGGTGAGAGAACAGCTACATTCACCGCGAAATCAAACTACTACTACTACTACTACTACTACTACTACTACTACTACTACTACTACTACTACTACTACTACTACTACTACTAATAATAATAATAATAATAATAATAATAATAATATGTGTGGTTTAATGTCTCAAAACCACCATATGATTATGAGACACGCCGTAGTGGAGGGCTTTGGAGATTTCGACCACCTGGGGTTCTTCAAGGTGCAGCCCAATCTGAGAACACAGGCCTACACAGCATTTCGCCTCCATCGGAAATGCAGCCGCCGCAGCCGGGAATCGATCCCGCGACCTGCGGGTCAGCAGCCGGCTACCTTAGCCACTAGACCACCGCGGCGGGGCGCAAGAGCGAACTTCGTAATCTAAAAAATAGAGGCACATAAATTATCAGATTCGAAAATAGGCGACAATGCTAACCTGAGTTCGAGTTCAGGCTTCAAGTTGAAGAGGAAAATACAAATATATATATCTGTTGATTTGCGGCAACGAGAGACATTTGCACCTAAAAAGATTGGTGTAACATTAAAGTACAGAAAAACTGGGGAGGGGTGAAGTATGTAGAGAGGGGCGTGTCAGCTCCACCTACGTGATAGCATGGCCTCCGAGATAGCGGGCGCGCACTGGCCGCGTGCCCGCCATCTCGGGGGTTGCGGTGATACTATAGGGAAGGGTCGAAGCATGCATCATTTCGAGAAAGATTTCTTTGACGAGCCCTTGAAAACAGCCATTGAAACCAAGCCCCTAAAACCCAGCGTGAAACCAGCCATTTTATAGGGAAGGGCGTTTCAGAAACCTCTAACATCGTCGGGAAATTGCGTCGGAATGCAGCCTCCCTAAATGTTGATCTTCTTGTTCTTCCCTATATGCCCGCTTTCAGGTCCCTACGGCATGTAGGGAAGGGCGTTTCAACTCTCTCTAATGTCGTCGGCCATTCATTGGGCTAGCCATGGCCTTTTTCATTCTTTAGGGGCGAAGCTCCTTATAGTGGCACCCGTTCGTCCCTCGTAGTCGTAGTCGTAGTCATAGTGTGTAACCAGTCTTACGTTTTTACCTGCAAAGTGATGCCGGTGGGAGATTTCCCCTGTGCGTTGTTGAACAATAAAAAAATCGTAGCGTGCGCGTTAACTAAAAAGCCAAATTCTCCTGTCTCTCATTCCCCATTAGCAGCCAATGGAATGTACATTGAGCACTATCTGACAAGAAAGGGTTGCTACGTTATACTCGCAGGGCGTAACCTCCTTGCTTTTAGAAAGGTTTAGCGAGCGTTGAGCCGCAGTGCCATGAATACAGTGAAGTAGTATATGCCATGAACTCAAGGTGGTTAAAGGTGGGAAGTACGTACGAAGCGCAAGCCGTAAGAAAGTAAAAGCCGAATTCTCCTGTCTCTCATTTCCCATAGCAGCCATTGGCATGTACATTGAGCCCTATCTGACAAGAAATGGTTGCTACGTTATACTCGCTGGGCATAACCTCCTTGGGTTTAGAAAGGTTTAACGAGCGTTGGGCCGCAGTGCCATGAATACAGTGAACTAGTATATACCATGAAGTCGAGATGGTTAAAGGTGGGAAGTAGACACGAAGCGCAAGCCGTAAGAAAGTGTGCGTGTGCCACCTCTCGTTTAGTCCTCGGAATGTCCGCTGGATGGTGGTGCTTCTATATCGGGAATATATGACGAAAAGATGCGAGATGGTGGTACTTGGAGTGTTGAATAGATGGACGAACGGACACGCAGACAGATGCATGGATGGACTCACGGATGGCTGCACCGACGGACGGACGCATGGACGGACGCAGGGGCGGATGCATGGACGAACGCAGGGAACGCACAGATGGACGTGCGGACGCACGAACAGACACACGCACGGACGGGCGTATGGACGTACGGGCGGCCACACAGACGTACGCATGGACGGACGGAAGCAAGAACGAATGGACGGACGGATGCTTCACCCCACTCTCCATCATTCACTCCGTGAATATGCTGCCAGTTTTTTTTTTTTTTTAGTGGACCGGTAGCAAGTAGCAGAATATTTAGCCATTGCGTCGCGCAGCCGTTTTTTATTATGGACGATTGACTATAGTGACGACACCGTTACGAAGGCAGACAGCCACTAGTCTATCCCCGAAGATGCTTTGCAGCTAATATCTCAAAGTGCGTGCTTTCATTTATTGCGGTAAGGCCATTAATGTATTTATTAACTTACTTTCAGTACTGCCAATACTGTAAGAATTTATTGGACTTCATCTGTCTCATCCGTCAATAACCATCATCAGTCTTCGCATCGGGCTTCTACACAACGGCTATTGCAGGCGGGTTCGCAGCTAAAATGTGAACTCGCAACGCGATGTGGGATATCTCATAAATAACACATGCACACTGAATACGGAAGAAGAGATACATTATACATTCCTCTCCGCGTTACAGTTTAAAGAACGAAAAATCTCAAGTCTGCTCAGAAATGTGCATTAGGCAACGTAAGACAAGGACACACACTGTTGAGCAACTCGAGAAGCAATGACGACAGTTCTGTGCAATGCGCCGAAGAGTACCGAAAATGTAAAATTGCGGCACGACCGAGGATCACGCCAACTCGGCTCCTCCAAGTTACCGTACGACTTTAAACGCCGCGTGTGAGAAATGTGCCGGACGAGTGTACTACACAGAAGAGTCTCCGAACAAGGCTCGAATTTGAAACAGTAAAAGAAAACAAGAACAGTAAACAAGAACAAATATAGAATAGAGTTAAAGAACGACTAACAAAAAAAAAAGCGATGAGCATACTGCAGTTTTTTTTAGGGGCGAAGCTTTTTACAGTGGCACCCGTTTGTCCCTCGTAGCCGTTGTAAAGAATAGTGTGTAATGAGTATAACATTGTGACCTCCAAGGTGGCGCCGGTGCGAGATTTCTTCTGCGCGTTGTTGAACAATAAACGATAGTGCTCAATGTACATGCGAATGGCTGTTAAGGGGTAATGATAGACAGGAGAATTCGGCTTTTAGTTGACGCGCACGCTGCGAATTTTTTTTTCTTGTACCATTCGTAACAGGACTGCCCACTCAAGCGAGGAAAAACGCTCGCCAAAAGTGCCGTCAATGAGTGAGCCCCGTTTCAAACGGCGGTAGCGAGTGCGGAAGCCGGGCAAGTGAAGCGACTTGCACCGCTGCGTCTCTTTCCAAGACGAGTTTCGGCGTTAATTAGCCTAGTGTCGACGCTGCTCGCCACTTGCATGTCGCTGACACGGAGCGCAGGGTCTCATTGCCACACGTTGTCGAATGTTCACGACTGGTGATTCGGCGCCGAAAATCGTGTTATCTGTTGCTCTTCACTACTGCCGCGTGACCGTACACGGTTAGCACATGAAAACATTGAAGAAAGCAGTTGAGAAAGCACAAACTAGGAAGGCCCCTTTGAAGTAACCATAATAATGTCTGGGGTATTGTATATATCACGATACCATTACGAGAGAAGCCGTATAGTGGAGGTTTCGACCAACTGGTGTTCTTTAACGTGCACTTGCATCGCAACGTTCACGGGCCTCTACCATTTAGCTGCAGCCACTGTAATTTAGCGTCCATCAAAATGCGACCGCCATGGCCGGGGTCTAACCCACAACCTCCGGATCAGCAGATGAGCGCCCTTACAGCTACACCACCGCAGCGGAAATCACGGGTTTAAAGGTGTTTTTTCGTCTTTTGGTAACACTGGCTCAACGAATTTGCTCGAACACAACACGTCAACTCTCTGGCTATCTCAGAAGGCAAGGGGGAGAGATATGAACAACAAGAGAGAAGGCAGGGAAGGTAACCAGGCACATGCCCGGTTAACGGCACCTAATCATTACCGATAAGGAGCTTCGCAGGACCGAAGAGACGTCCTCAATAGCTGTGACATCAAAGGTATACTGGTGCGGGGACATTGTTCACGGCCCGCATTTGCTTTTCGCGGGTTTACGTATACTTACCAAGTGTCTTCTCGTAGCAAGCGTACCATTTTTGATGTCATGAAGGAATAATATTGTTAGGGGAGTATTTACTAAGGGGTCGTCGATCAGCATCAGGGCGAGATGACACAGCACACAGAATGCCAGTCAACCGGGCAAGCCAGACTCGGTCCAATAAAAACAACGTCATCGTCTTCTTCCCTTCGACTTCATTACAGCGGCTCTTCCGGAGAGGTATTTCCACACCCGTGACATTACGCTACGAGAAGTATTATTTTATCTCATTAGTCTCCCTTTAACAATAACAAATAACAAATTCTGGGGTCCCACATGTTGAGAACACAATACCAACACAGTTATAGAACTAGGCGCACTGTTGGACTTCGGGTTAATTACACGCCCCTCGGCTTGAACAGGCGCTCAGCGGCGTTCTTACAAAGGAATTTCTTCTTTTATCTTTTTTTTATATTTTATTCTCATCAACACAGCTGCGATGGTTGGGAATCGAACCCACGGCTTCATGCTTAGCAGCACGACAACGCCGGTCAGTAAGCAATAAAAGACGAAATAAATGATCAAAGGAACGAAATAACTGAGACCTGTAGATCTTGAAGAGCCGCAAGTAAGCGAAGCCAATCAGGCGCTATAGGCCAAGCATTTCGCATGTTAACGATCCCGGTTGAGTTGTCTACGCTTGGTTGGCCGCCGCCTAAAGATTCAACAACTCGAAGATGCATAACGGTACTCACACCAAACACTCGGGCGTTCTCTTTAGGAATGTCCCGCATTGTGTACGTCACAAGAATGCGCATTCCCGAAACGTTTCGTCATCCCACTATCAGCAGAATGCCGTCTCCAAGCTCTTCCGAGGTAAAGCCGTTAGAACAGAATCACCTTCGCTTCTTTCTATTTTTCTTTATCACTTTCACTCGTACGTTTGGTTCGAACGTACGTTCAAATAAACACACAAGAAGCTCCAGAAACGACCTTCGCTGCTGGATGCAGGCGAGTGTATGACAGACATCCAGCTATCCTTACGAATCTCGCATCCCCGCCAACACGACCGCGGTTTTGTTCAATAAAAAATGCAAAAGTTATCACACCCAATGCCTGGTGTGTTGGAGGGGTGAAAAGTTTGATGGAGGAGAAATAAATAGGGTGAGGGAAAGCGAGGATGAGTGTGTGCCGGCTGGGCACTCAAGACTGCGTGGCGCCGTCACACCTGGTCGGAGGGGAAAGACCGGAAGGCGAGGGCGACAAAGAGAGAAAAGGGGGAGGGAAGAGGCGGTTTGGCCAGGCGCCGACACAATGGCGAAAAAGCGTGAAAAACTCGATTGTTCGAAACAGGCGCCTGGAATAGAGAGGGAGGTGGGGAAAAGGGGGTTGTCGAGGTAGAACAGATTGAAGTGAAAGGGGAGGAGGGCTCAGACAGAAAATAAATAAAAATAAAGTTAAATTTCGCATAGTAAATAAGCAATGAAGATTCGGCAGAGCAGAGGACAGGAAGCTAGGCACCGCTTTCGTTGTTGCTGGCGCTATAGCTCAGTTCTGTCTCCCTGCGCAAGCACTAAATCCTCGCCCTGCGTCTGTGTCGCGTCCCGCAATATCTTCCACGTACGCGGACGCTGGGTTACAGGGACGACGTTCACATTTCCCGTGCTCCTCTACTTCACTGCAGCCGGCGAGCTGAAGAGGAG